AGAGAAACATCAATCCACTGCCTCCTCCACCCCCCACCCCCCTGTCAAACAGGTGACCTCTTGGTGAATTGGGAGACACTCAACCAACTTAGTCACACCAGCCACGGCAAGGTGTAACCCTTTTCATTGCATACAAATTCACCTAAGAATTTTCATCCAGATATGGGACTCTGGCAATCCTGATAAATCATCTTTTAAAAAAGTTTCAAGTCAAAAAGCACAGGAATCTAATTTAAAAGAATGGAAATAAATATTACAGTTAGAGTTTATCAGTGTTATAAATTTTTTTTCCAAACTAGGTTGTTTCCAACTGGTCTTGATTTCTAGGCTACAAACTTATGAAATAAGATTGTAAAATCAAGGGCCAAATAGCCAAGTGAATCAGTATTTCCCTGGTGACATTTCCAAGATCATACTCTGTTTCCTGCTGAAGTTCGAAGACCTTTCAGGGGTCGCTGGAAGCAATCTACAGAATCCGCATGTGCCATGGTCTAAACTTCCTTGAGTTCATGAAGTAAATCGGGCATGGGCTCAAGAGAGAAATGGTTTTGTATTTCACACTAGGACACCGTACACTTTAGAAAAAACAAAAGCCAAAAACGCTTATTTCCGTGTCTCATTCCTGAAAACTTCTATCAGGAAACTTACTCTGCAGTGCCAAATAAAATGAGAGGAGTCTCACTGAAATAAATGTTTGCCCTTGCAATTTCCCAACCCAAGCAGAATGCTGCTCCTCCTAAGTAGGTCCAGATTTTCTGCATGCTGGCCTGAGAGCCTTTTAATAGTAGAGAGACTGGCTGATGAATGTGCCACCATGAATTAATTTTCATTCATTCAACAGTCGTTGGTGCTACTTGTGGGAAGAAGGTGCTAATTGCCACAGAAAAGAATTCTTTTTTTTTTTTAAACAGTGGGGCTCAGCAGGGGGCACTTCTTAACAAATTCAAAGAGTGCTTGGGATAAGTTACATCAGTCCCTCCCTACCTGGAGAGATTGATCTTTGAGGTAACATTTGAAATTGCTGTAGGCTATCCTAGCACCTTCTGGGTATAGACCTGATTCCTACCCCATACCCCATAGTTTGTAACCACCAAAGATTTCAGAGTGAGGAATAAATGTTGGCTTTGAAGGTTGAAGGCACAGCTGGCTGCCAGGCTGGCAGCTGGCAAAGTGACATGGCAGCCAAGTCAGCTTCNTGAAAAATGAAATGGGAGGAATCTGGCTGAAATGCTTATGCTCACGATTTCCAAATCCAAGCTGAATGCTGCTCTACGTAAGTAGTTCCAGATTTTCCGCATGCTGGCATTAGAGTTTTACAAGAGCAGTGAGACTGGCTGATGACTTTGCCACAATCAGTTAATTTCCATTCCTTCAACAAACATTGGCTTAGCGCCTACTCCTATGCCACATGTGGTGATAAGTGCCAAAGAAAATAACTTTTTTTTTTTTTAAACATAGGGGAGCTCAGCAGGAGGCACTTAACAAATTCAAAGAGTACTTAGGGATAAGTTAACATCAGTCCCTCCCTACCTGGAGAGATTGATCTTTGAGGTAACATTTGAAATTGCTGTAGGCTATCCTAGCACCTTCTGGGTATAGACCTGATTCCTACCCCATACCCCATAGTTTGTAACCACCAAAGATTTCAGAGTGAGGAATAAATGTTGGCTTTGAAGGTTGAAGGCACAGCTGGCTGCCAGGCTGGCAGCTGGCAAAGTGACATGGCAGCCAAGTCAGCTTCTCCAGTAGTCCCTGCTTAACGATTCTGCACTCCCATTGTGCTGGTGAGAGCTGTGTCACTCCTCAGGAAATGCAATCCACAGGCACACGTGCTTACACACGACTTCCTCATCTTGGTAGTGGAAGGATTTCCCTAAAAGCACTTGGCACCTGAGAGCAAAGACTCACCTAGGGCAGCCTCAAGTGGCAGAGCCCAGTTTCTAGCAAAATGGTGCCCACTAGGCTGCCTTTGCCAATCTGGCCCTGCAGCTCTGCACGGAAAACGTGGCCAGGTCTCGGGACTCAAACTGCCGAGCCCCCAAAGCCCGGGACTGGGTCTCAGCACCCGCTGCTTCTCGCCTTCAAACGCACTGAGCCCAGGATCTGACATTCTTTTTTTTTTTTAATATGTTTTCATTGACTTTTGAGAGAGAGAGGAAGGGACAGAGAGAGAGAGAGAAACATCACGATAGAGAAACATCAACCAGCTGCCTCGTGCACGCCCCCTACTGGGGATCAAGCCCACGACCCACGCTTATGCCCTGACCCTGATCCAACCAGCGCCCTCTTGGCGCATGGCACCACGCTCAATCCACTGAGCCACACTGGCCGGGCAGGACCCGACATTCGGATCCCTGCCTGTCCTTTGCGTCACTTCCCTTCCACACCTCTGTACCTGCTGGCGCACCTGCGTTCTACCCAACAGTTCCATTCCCAGGCTCCCCTGCAGCCCTGCCCATGTGCCTGCGGAGAGGGAGTTAAACACACCCAGTGAACAGGCTCAAGCTTTTATTCCCTCGTGGGAGTGGCGCCCCATCAGTAAAGAAGAAGGAAAGTTTAAGAAGAGCGTCTTGGAAGTTAGGTGTCCCCAAGCATGGAGGTCACCAGCCGGGAAGGAGAAGCGATGTGGTGTGAGGCAGGTGTGCCCTGGGGAATGCCGAGGCTTCTGGAGGCTGAGCTCAGGGGTGCGGACCCTTGGATCGGCTCACTCCAGGCGCAGACGGGTCTCCTTTCTCTCTGCCTGCGAACCACCTAGCTGGGCTCCTTGCCTGCCCCACGCCGCCCGGACACTTTTGCAGCGCTCGCTGTAGTGGGAGACTCTGTAGGCTGCTGCGGAGCGCGCGCTGTGCGCTCGGACCCGGAGATCCCGGGGACCTGAGGAGCTTCTTTCTGCGCAGTCTACCCTCTGAGAGCAGCAAGTCAGGAGCGGGGACCTCCCAAGCGGGCTTGGAGCAGAAAGCCAGGGGAAGGGGTCCTGAAGCGGGGTGTACAGGGTGTGAGATGGTCGAGCTGCTGCATAGATGGGTGTTATGGAGCCGCTTAGTCTTGCGAGTGGGGATAGGTATGATGCGAACAGGTTACCATCAAGCCGGTATGTAGACGTGACCACACAAGAGACTGGGAGGCAGGCTTGGGGCGCGGTCCGAGTGAACCCGGGCATTCGGCCCATGGCGAGTGCCATTGCTTTGCTTCGGGGAGTGGGCTTGTGTTGAAGACAGTAATGAGTTCGTGAGCATGGAAGAGTGTGACTGCAAGTGACAGTGAGCAATAGTCTCTGCAGGGACTCCCGAAAGCCTGCCTTGCTCTCTATTGGAGAACTGAAGTGCGGCGGATGCGCGTGCAGGTCCGGAATCGCACGCCAATGGGACATCTTGGCAAACAGCTGCCGGAAGCAGGAGCAGCTGGGCAAATGGTTCTAGCAGGCAGATGAGCGACAGGTTATGGATGGCGGGGTAGAAAAGGAGATTGCAAGGGCTGCTTGGGAGCTGGGGAGGCATCTGTGCCTTGCACCTCCCTGGTGTGGTCCAGCGGGACTTCGGTCCCTTCTACCCACTTGAAGGACCACCCAGGGCAAGTCCTGCTGCCCAGAAGGTGGGGAATCCAATAGTATGAATCACGATCTTAAGGAACTCCATCTGTGGGCCTCCAAACTCTTCCAGGTCCCTACCAAGCTGGGGGCGGGGCGGGGCGAGGCAAATTACTAAACACAACGTTCCTTCAAGACATTGAGTCCCATTTTAAAGATGAGCGCATTGAGGCACCGAGAAGTCACTTCATAATCCTACCGCCAGGAATTGGCGCAGCCGGAATTGAGTTCAGCCTGACAAAGTTCTCGCTCCCACGTCCATCTCTTGTTCCCACAAGCTGCCCTCCTCTGTGGGTGATTCCAGATGCCCGAATTAAACACCTTGCTGGGACCCAGAACCAACCCTGTGAAGCATTAACCCTCTCACCCTCGCTTGGATGGNACCCAGAACCAGCCCTGTGAAGCATTAACCCTCTCACCCTCACTTGGATGGGGCTGAAGGTCAGGCTTGGGGGAGCCAGGGGTCTCTGCCTTCCGGACCCCGCCCTACAAGACCGCGCAGCTGGGGATGGAGTGGGGTGCACTTCAAAGCCTGATGGAACTGAACAGGTGAAATTTACAATGACGTCAAACTGTCCTCAAAATCCTCCTGGCGTGGGTGTTTTTTTTAGCCCCCACCTCTCCCCCCTCTCCTTTCCATCAGTGACCTCAATGCAAATACAAGCGGGATGATTCTGATGGATGCTACAGGTCCTGGACGCAAGTGGGTGACACAATCCGCCCCAGGCACCGGATCCTTCTTCTCATTGGCTGCCCGGAGCTCCTGGGCCCCCTCCCCAGACCCAGAGCAGGGGAATAAGAGGAGCCGCCGGGGCTGCGAGGCTTCGGAGCGACTTCCCAGTTGGAGAGTCACTGCCACTTCCACAGTGCCGTGGACAAACACGGAAGCCGCCACCGTTGTCGCCACCGCCACCGGAGGTACCTGCTGCCAGGTGAGCCCGAGACTCCAGCTCAGCTGTGGGTCCATCTCTCCGTCTCCTCCCTTCCCTCTCTCTCCGCTGCTCTCTGTCGGTCCATCTCCCTGCCAGTCTCAAAGTCTGTGTCCACTTCTGTCTGGGGCTCTGCGTTACACAATCTGTTGGTCCGCGGTTCTTCCCAAACTCCTCCCGGCTCCCGCTGGACGGTCTCCGGGGGGACTCGCTGCCCCGTCTCCGCGCAGCGCCGCGCTCGGTCCAGCGGACGTGCCCGCCCGGGTTCCCGGG